AAACCCTCAACCCCTTGTCTGTTGGTCCAAATGGTTCCGGTACGATGCTGGAAACTGGAATGAACTTACAGAGCGAGTACACCTTCCATTTCCGGGCGGATTGTGGCTGCTAATGAGAAGACAATTTTGCTCATAAACACGCAATTAGACTCCGCGGTAAACGTAAGATTTAAAACCCTCGCCCGGACATCAGACCGAGCATCTATTTCACAGGTAACTAACCAACCATCTACGTTAAGTTCTACCTGAAAACAGAGCGCCGAGGAAAATACAGTGACAAAACACGGATAGATTAAACCTCAAATTATAGACAGAGTGTTAGGATATACAGGATGATCCAAAATATACCTAGCAATTTTAATGCTTTATTTCTCCTAAGCGATGAGACATAAAAATCTGATTCAAATACCATTAAACGAGCATCTCAACTAATTTATATTACGAGCTTTAAAAGTGTTTGACCTCGAACTTTGGATTCAGTCTTTGCTGTTGAAAGCCAGTGCCTCTGACAGTCATCGTCCAAAATTGATCCTGTCTTGCGAAATTTCTTGACGAGATTTCAAAATGTGCGCCTGTCCGTTCCAACTTTGACGCAAAACTTTACGTGGAACTATCTCCTGAACTTTCCTGGGCTTTCAGATTATCGAAAGTAATCTTCCATGATAAATTTCAGCCGCTCGGTACTGTACATAATCGAACTAAATAATGACAAACAAATGTCTTGGGGTACTACAGAAAGTCAGCAAAGTTTCTTCAAATTACAATAATTCGTTGCGGAGAAAATCGAGTTTAAACTTCGTACTTTACTTATTTCAATATGCTTCCAGGTTTGCATAAATTATCCCAGACGAATATGACACATCTACCTACAAAGATACAGTAGACGTGCTCATGTTTTTATGCACTATTTTGCTTCTAAAAACAGAGCTGTAAATAGGACAGCGTTGGCAGCAAGAAGAAGGATTCCCCGTACTGACAGATTCTACGAGTCTTTAAGACCAAAAGTTCAAGAACCCAACAAGGAATCAGTAGTAAATGAGGGTGTAGAACATGAAAGTTTTGTTAAAGTCATGACAGAGACGTGATTGTCCATATTGCTGTTTCTTGCTGTACAGAACTGACTAAGATTCAAGACACACTGTATAGTCAGGGTTCTACCTCGAGAGTGTGTTTTACAAAGGATGCACGCTTACGTCAAAAGTATTTCATGAGGATAATTCATTATAAATAAGAAATTATTGGACGAACTAACAACACTTTTGTCTTTACACGTTTAAATGCACACACAAGCCAGCAGTAATTACATGAATTAATAATTATATAATACAGTAATACATTTCTGCCCATAACTTTCACAAGTAAACGTGTTCACTACCTCAGAGTCATCTATATTAAGCTCCAAAGTTTCGGGGCCATCCCACACATCTGTAACTTTTAGCACATATAAAATTTATTTACAATAAAGTGTACGGATGTGTTCACAATCTTTTGCCACACAATTCGAACAAGACTCTCAAGTGATCTCCTCCCTTTAAGACTTAATCCTAAATCCCTGTGCATTCTATATGTCCGTCCCACCTCATTATACTACGAAGATAGCTATAGTAATAAATTTATTTATATTCAATTCATAATATAATATCAGGAAATAAAAAAATCACTGGCATGAAAGGTCACGTCTCCTTCCACATACATTCTCTTCACGTCAACAAGGAAAAGAGGGAATATTAATATTACATAAGACCAACAGCGAAACAGCCAATTTAAAAATTTTTGAAAATAAACCCTTAGGTCTTTCTAACACGTACTACAGTTGCATTTGAATTTGAACTAGGAAAAATATTTGTTCATTTGTTCGGCTGTTAAGTGAGAACACAATCCTTTATTGTTTGCTCGTCACATACAAGACTTTCCTTTTTTATTTATTCAGTGATCGGGTTCTTTTGTTATTGTAACAGTCGATGGTAAGCAATATCGATCATTTGCATTGGCTTCCCTTTCACAAAGTTACTGAAGTGTTTACAATTCAATACGTACTCTAAAACAAAACAACCAATCAATAAGAGTAGAAATTTCAGTCAAATAACATTCGCTACGCGGATTATTTCGGTACATAATTATTGTAATTAAAATATATTACGTTATAACGCGGGTGTTGGGGTGAAAATATCCGCGTTACGTTGTAAGTAAAAAAGACAACATATTAATAAAGTTTTCAGCCATGGGAGACAAGGTCATGGTATATTCGATTCCACTACCTCAGGAGAGTCGATTATACTTCGAGGTTGACTCGATATCTCGATCAAAAATTCTTTAAGTAGTTACGTTTATGCTCCGGTGTTACGTTTTATTTTAAAATCAGTGTACTGATGGGTCAGACCTTGGAACTTGTACGAATGCTTCACCATAGGGTAAAGTTTTAAAATCTGAAACTTCTATTTAACTATTTCCGCAAGTCCCACAGACTGCCTGGCGATTACCGTACTATTAATCCCAATTCAATTCGACTTTTCAACACGTCAGACAAGTAATTCCGAAGTTTTTCAGACTGGCGATAAGCTGTGCGTAAATTATGCATTAAATTCGAAAGTTTTAAAATTATTAACGCTGCAAACAATCCGAGAGACAGATTGAATTTCAGGTTCTCACGGTGGCAAGTATGAACGATGACGGAGGCAGTGAAACGTCGGTTAATTTCTATCAAGCTACGACGAAACGTCCCAGAACACAGTCATCTTGAATATGAGATAGATTAGTAAATGTGACTGAAGGAGTAATGAATATTTCAACCGTCCGTAACAAAAAACATTTTTTTTTTTCCAAATAGAGAGACGCGTGTGTTTGGAAAATATGAAAGGTTCCTGTCACTTGTGTTACCAGTTATCGAACAACTTGTCTTGAAGCTGTCGATAACTCTGACGTCACAAAACAATATTCCTCTGTTACTTCCTGAACTGTTCCTTTAAGTTACAATAAAACTCAAATAAAAAATCTTACTGAATAAACCAGGCAAAAAAAAAATATATATACGCCAAGGCTGTTCAAAATACGACGAACGTAAAAATTTTTGAATAAAACTTTTCGTTTTAATCAAACGAAAAATCATCGGACGAGTGATTTTTACGTAACCTACTGAGCATTTACCAGGTCACGTGACACAAAATTCATACTCTAAAAGTAATTTTGGGTTTCTTGGACTGCGGGAAACAGAAAAATCAAGGAAACCCTAATCAAAATATATCCTTTAAAGGCGGTCGGGGTTACAACCGGAAAAAAAACTTTTACATACGTCGAGATGCAATAACGCGGTTAAGAAATGTATACAAAAAAAATGGGTCTTTCGGGCTGTAAAGATAATTTTAAAACACGCAGAAGCGTTTATATTTTGAACAAAACAAAGAAAAATATAACTGTGTGTGTGTATATATATATATAATTCCCAAAATATTATCATATTTATTCGTATTCCCCACGCCGGACCCATCCGGATGTTATTAAATCTGCTACGTAAACTTATCAATAAAATTTGAAATTCCGCCTCGTAATCAGACGTACCACAGAATAGAGCTACTCTGCGAAATCAACGCCTTAGTTCACTGTGTACTCAGAAAGAACAGAACTACAGAACTTGTCCTCGCATGTTTCACCCCACAGCCACGAGAACGTAAATCAAACCGGTCAGATTCGCAACACGCAAGGGGTGGGAATAACAAAAGAAACCACCCCCCCCCTCCCACCCACAAGATATTTTTTGTCTGGAATACAGATCAGCTATTTCCAAAGCGTGGAACGCGGTTAGCGATCGACACAAGACACTTTCGATTAACGTCTGATCGTGTTAGCAACAGAACAGTGTTGCCAAAATGTGTCTGGACCTTTCGTGCCAGTTCCTTAGACGACGCGTAAGAAAGTGGTCGTGGCCAATTTCATGGCGGTTTTCCAGCGTTTGATTGGAGGAGCTGGGGGAAATATAAAGAAACATCTTCCGGGATGTAGCACCGTGTAGTCTGGTAGAAGTTTACCAACGTTTCAAATGTCCTTGGTGCCTCCATCGTCAGGGCGCGCGTACGGTTTTAAATAAATTTATTTAAAAAATCTGAGTTGATTTAAGTAAAAAACAAACGTGCTATTTCTCATTATCTGGAGCTGAATTATATGTATTCCTCCCCCTCGAATGCGTTATACTGCAACCAGCGTAATGTTACTGTATCTCAGTGGGTTACGTCATCGCCGTGGCTAGTGACCTCGGGCCAAAGGAGGGCAATTTACATTCACTTCTCGATGGGACGAACCATGGCGTGGCTTAGTTCTGGGAACTGTGATGGGTGAAGAACACTTTACCTGCTGTTTCAAGCCTTTTCCAGTTCGTATCTTTTCATCGCAAAATATATTCAATGAAGGATACAACATATCGACAAAACGCTCGTCAACACGAAGCTCAAATATATTTTCAAAAAAAAAAATATTCCTTGCATAAAGACAACTTAAATGCTACGTAAATGATTACACGTTGAAGTACAGATGTCATTAAAATCTAATGTTTCAGGCCAATTTAGAATATTATTTACTATAACAGTAAGAACACGATAAACTAGTTCAATTGTTTAACCCTTTCCTATTTGGGAAAGTTGGTAACAAATCTAAATTACGTCGACGAAAAATAAATATATTTAACCTCACTGTCTCCTATCTCAAAATCTGAAAATTAAACTCCCTCATACAAAACTACGTTTCATTGTTACATGGCAATGATAAAATGCATAGCGAAAAAAACAAAACAAGAACGTAGAAGTAGACAAAATTACAAATGGCGGGGCTTCGTAATATTCTCCTCGGCAAGTGAGCATTATTAGAAATAAAGAGTAGTCGAACACCTTACCTTCTGAGCCTTGCACATTGAGTTGATAGCTTGGACGTCGTGACTGGTGTGACGTGTGTCGTGGAGGCAGAGTGGACAGACAGGCACTTTGCACACCATGCAGTACATGGACAGGGCTTCATCCTCGTGTTCCGAACACTGGACGTCCTTCGTCTTGGTCTTGTTACGAAGAGCAGCTCTTCCCTGGAGCGGTTCCAGAAGCGTGTGTTTCGCCAGCGGACCTCGGGATGGGTGACAATTTTCGCGGCACGCGTCACAATACAACACTTCGCATTGTTCGCACATGACAGTCGCGTCTTCTGCTGGGTCAGTCTCACACAACTGACACTTCAAGGTTAAATTACGTGTTTCTCCATATTTGTCCACGATACTCTGCATTGCCCTGTACTTGGGCAGATTATGAGCTCCGTTTTCATCGAAATATACCACTTTGTGGCAAACGGGGCAAGCCAACGACAAAGCACTGCTTGCCAAGGGTGGAAACAAGATACCTTGAATGTTGGGCGTTCCAACGTAGCTGTTCGGCCGACTGTTACAGACAACACCACTATCTGTTTCGCTCAGAATCGAGAGTTTATCAACTTCCTGATAATCTGCTGCTCCCAATTCACTACCACCGCCGCTGCTGGTGCTTCCACCGCCCCCACCGGCCGATTCGCTGGCGAGTTCAACCGCCTGCGTCGGGGGCGGATGTTGTGAGGCAGGTTGTTGCAGGTGAACCGCACAGTTGAGACAAAGGGCGTGGTAACACGGTAACAACACCGGGTTGTTGAACAGTTGTTTACATACTGGACACCGCAATTCTTCCTCCATCGTGACACACAATCTGATCTCGACTGGCGGCAGGCAAGCCCCGCGCCACAACACAACACAACCGATATTGCCAAGCGTTGATGTCACCTGCCATCTAGCGTTCTACATCGCAAGTACGATACAAGTAGCGCTTACATCGGAGACGAAATGAAACATTTGGAAAAAAGAAAAAACTTTATTAATGGCGTTCAGCAGCTCATACTGTGAAGGATCGAATATTACAATGATAAATTAATCGGCGTTCTTTGAGATGATGTCCCTACATTTGCCTGTAAAAGCACTGAAACTACGAAAAAGAGCAGGTACTAAGGCGAGATTTGAACTCGGTACATAAACTTCACCTGAAAACGAAAACTGAACACCACCAATGTACGATGCAAACTATCTGGAAACGTAATACTTAACAACAACATCCCGCTCTTTTTTCAGTCACATTAACAAATGAGTGTCGTAGAGATTCAAGTTAATCGATGTACAATCACACATTACCAACAGCTTAAAAACTAATATTTATTACTTAGCACAGTAAAGTAGCTGTCAGTATCGATATACAGCTTTGTAGAAATTGAACTCTTTTATTAAAATGAACATCGTATTAAATCGATATACAATTGAACTGAATTGAATTACCCATTACCAACAGCACAGAAATGAATACTTATTACATGGCAGAATATTACCATCTTATAAATCTTTCGGTTTTTAGTATTCACAATTACTTAACTTTTAATGAATAGCTCCATCATGTATGTTATTTACATTTGAATGCAGGAGCGTTGGTACTATGACCCAGGAGAAAGGATGGGGGACTTTACATCTAGATTAATAATATTGATTCTTTGATTTTCATGACTCAGTAGTGATTAAATCTTCATTATGAGTTCTTATTCAGATATTACAATCCATGTCAACTTATAAAGTTAGGCACAGATAAACAAGAGACTGCATAAGAACATTATTAGAAAATTCCACAGGAATTTATGCACGGAAACATCTTGTGGCCGTGCACAGCGAACACTGCTCTAGCATTCCATTGCTAATAATACACAACTAAAATACAGCATCACTAAATCATAACAATATCAGTCTTTTATTATACATAAATGTTTGTGCGTAATTAATAAGTCTTCCATGTAGTAAGCAACAACATTGACTCCATTATTTCTGCATCCCTTATTCAAGTCTGGACATTTTACAACACGTCTGATGATTTTAAAACATTTAAAAATTAAAACTTACATGAAGTCAAATCATACATATAGATTAAGACACTGCTATATAATACTGCAATAAATGTGTCTGTAATAGGGGAGAGGGGAAGAAGAAGGCTTTGATATTTCAGTCTGCTCTTATCAACAGCTGGTTCATATAATCCATATTATTTACTTTATACTCTGCCAGGGCTTGGATGTCTTTCAAAATTGCATGCAGATGCTCAGTGTATTCAAGGTCTGGCTGCCTGTAACACACAAGAATAAAAATAGAATAAATACAGCAAGAAAGAAAAAAACAACTGAACACAGGGATTCTATCTTTATAAAAAAATCCATGCAGTAGAATCCTATTAAGAAACTAACAGTATGCTCAGCTGCTCAAGAAATTGCTTATATTTTATGGAACCTAGAAACCTAAAGGTTCAGTACCATGTCCACAAGAGCCCACCAATGAGCCAGTATCCTGAGCGAAATGAATCTAATCCACAAGCTCAAACCCTATTTCCCTAATATCCACTTTAATATCATCCTCCCTTCTATCAATGTCTTCAAAAGAATCTGTTCCTTTCATACTTTCCAAAAAAAACGTTATATGCCTTTTTAATCTCCCTCATTTATGCTACATGCCCTACCCATTCCATCCTCCTAGATTTGATATTCCTACATGAAAACATCTAATTAGTAAAAGATGTGTAATTAACCTCAAATTTTGACAGTCCTTGTAATATAAGGAAAACAGGTTCTTAAATCATATTAAGTGCAGAAATAAAGATCCCACCTGTACAAACTGGTCATCAGCTCTTTGATGTGCTGTGGTATTACATATCTGGTATTTGAGGTTATGATGCTCAACCCATTATTTTCATCAGTAAATCCATGAACACTGGTTACAGAAAACAAAAATACAACCATCAGATTCTTTCCATAAAAGCCAAGAAATTACAGATGGAATTCCTTCAAACACTTTATTCTATATAGTGCAGCTAGTAAGTACAATTTATTTATCCATTTTTGGACATAATTTACAATAAAAAAGGTTCAGGATATTAAATTTGCACAGCAGATTCTCGAAGATCCATATCACCGCCTTGCAACTCCTTCATTTTGCATCTGTAAGTGCAACTCGATAAAAAAAATTCACATGCCTATAATAACCTACAACTGGCAACCAGTTTAATTTAAATAAAAATTTTCTTTACTTACCAAACAACAAAAAACCTATTATACTGATTGCTTCTTTTATCATTTGCTAATTCCTTCAGCCCATGTATGAAGATATCATCTAGCCATGCTGGATTTTGGTAGAAAACTCTAATGCCTTGGAAAAGTGCCTTCTGATGCAAAACTGCACACTCGCTCTCTATGACCACAATTTTCATGTTATCACATTCTAGATGTCTGTTCAGCCACTCAGCTGCACCAGTTGCTATTTCTTCTGCAAGCGTGTGATCGAAACAGTCGTATACCTGTAAATTAAACCTCTTTGAAGCACATAAGATGGACACCATCTGGAAAGAACTACAACTGCTACGTCAAGCGGATTAAAACTGTTAATGGCTGTGAAATGTACAAGAACATTTTAATTATCTTAATTTTAACTCATCAGATATGAAAACCTAGACAAGAAAAATTCAAAAATGACTAGGCCTATTCCTCTTATTGAAAAAGTTTAACATAAACATATTACCTTACATTTCATTACTTCTCGTAACATATTTCTCAGAGTCACCATCAGCTTCATAAATGGTTCACAGTCACGAGGATATAGAAGAAGTACTTGTGGCAATACTTTAACAAAAGATTTTTATAATTAAAACAATTTGAAACCATTAAACTAAATAATGAGTGCCTGTGCAAGTAACTGACTTTATTATCTATTTGAACAAAAGTTTTCCTTTAATCTACTATAAACTTTCATTTCACGTTCTTTTCCTTGTTAAACCCATAATTTAGTCTCAGACTGTAACTCAGATCTATTTTGTTCTTGTGAACTTGGCTGCATATATTCCAAAACAATATTGTTCTGAATCACTGGTTCTACTAGTTTATTTCCACAGTTCATGAGTTCCAAGGAAATTTAAATTTAAAATTCACCTCTCAGCATTAGAGCTGAAAATACAAGCTAAACCCACCTATATTTTTCTACATTCAACATAACCTAAAAGTGATAGACTACATTACATTGATACTGGGTGCTTTCAAGAAATTCATATGTTCTCTGCTACACAATATAAAGGTTGTTGTTTAAGAATAAGCCTCTGTCATTTGTTTCAAGAGGCAGTGACCAATATGAGTGACCATGACATTTTTATCTCTTATTATACTAATAAAACTTTATTGATAAGTCTTGGGAAATACATTAATTAATCTAGGCACCTTATAAAATTACTGTAAAATATATCCCAATAGCAGTAACAATTAACATGAGCCAGTATCATCAAATTATAAGTTTCATAGCAGTGCTAGTGTAGGAGAATAAGTACATTTAAGGAACTTTCTCTCTTTTTACAAAGGTTAACTTTCTGGAAGCAGTGAAATATTTTATATTAACTCTTAAACTCACCAGGCTCAAATTGTTGTAATTGTTGTTGTTGATGTTGTACAGGTGCATAATGCAAGCATTTCAAAAGCTTCTTTCTCAAGATGACTACCATTATGAATAAACAAACTACCAAAATGGAGGCAATTACTGATGCAAATATTATTACTTCACAATGATCACTTTCAACTAATGCAGGCATCTCAATCACTGGATTTACATTACCTTAAGAAAAGAAATTAAAAGATTTACAATATAACAATGTTTTTTTTTTTACTGAACTTGCTCTAAATATGAGAACAGTATACTTCAGTTGACGTACAAAATTTGTTGAAATGAAAATCTTCTAAAATTATAATTGGCGACGATACATATAAAATACAGACATATTTCACCGCCATATAAATACCACGAATATCATTACAAAACCACGAATAATTTTCACATTTCAGACCCTTGAATTGTCCCGTCTCCATTTATTAACAAATTCTGAACATCTTAATTTCTGGATTGTGTACGATATCTTCCTACCACATTCAATGCAATATAACCTCTGCAGTAGAAAAGTGTTATCAAAATAATCTACCAATTAATCTTGACACTAAAATTACAGATGGTAAAGAAAGAATTATTTACCAGGAGGGCTATTCCACTGACACCAATGATTATGATTATTTATAGCAGTATTGTGCCAAACTCCATTGCCTCTACATGGATGAGAATAAAGTTTTACCTGCAAACAAAGAAAATTGTAATTATGTTTAGACACGGCAGCGCTTTAGAAAAGAGAAGGTATAGCTGCACTCTTCCTGACCTCGGCACTGAATGACTTTATAGCCATCGGATAAGAGTCTCGGTAGGCCCCACAGCTGATGTGGATTCACGGTGTTGAAGAAACGTCCTTTGGGGAAGTATAAAGTTGGTCACATTTATCACAGAAATTTTGAACGTCACTTACCCACATACACTGAGGTCGATTATCGACATTCTCCGTTACGCACTTTATCTCATTCCCTCCTATCTGCAACAAAAGTGGTGTATAAACAATGCATATGAAGAGATTTGTTAAATAAGCAAATAAGATTACCAATATTTTTAATAACATGTGATATATAATGATTCGTAACACGTAACTTACCAATGAACAATTTGAAGAGGTGTTTCCTTTCATACATTTAAACTCTCCGGCCAACTGTAAAATAAACGTTCGTTTTAAACTGCGTTAAATGCGATTTTACAACTCGCTGAACCTGCCTACCACTTTTAATTTTCTTTTTCCTAGGTAAAGTATTTTAAACATTTAAATCTACTGCATGTGAATAGATTTGTACCGCCAATCATCCTAATTAATAGTAAACCATAAAATACATCTATTCTAATATAATTTAATTATTTGTGTTCCTTAAGTTTATAAATGTTGTTCCGAGAGGTGCCAGATTTCTGCTCCATAAAGAGCTCGTGAGAAACGAAAGGATCAGAGAAATCATGAGGATGGATCGAGATATAATTCAGGAGATAGAGAAAAGACAACTCCCCACTTAATGGTACCTGCACCTTGTCGTGGTGGTGGGGCTTGAGTACCTCAGCGACCCCAAGAGCTACTGGTAGGGATTCGCTAGCCAGATTGGTCGAGGGGGAGAGGTACCCTGGTCCTCCAGGTTGGGGGTTGGTCGCAAGGCTAACAACCTTGCACCGTGAAAAGGAATATGTTTCGAAACCTCGATCAAAGCCTCGGACAGACGGACCTAACAGAGGACCGAATGGAAGAGGAGAATTGAGGAGGCGATGGACCGAATACGGACCGGAGAGCCATAGAAGAAAAAAAATAAGAAGTCATAATAAGTTAATATTTTCCTTAAATATGTGATGAAAAATGTAGCTCTGTCTTTGTTAAGTCTAAATATTCTGGAGGTCAACCCCTTCATTTCAGTCAGAACAAAACATTTGAAATGATCAACCGTTGCTTACATTATGACCCATCAACCACACATTGAGTATTCCATTTGTAGTACAAGCATCACAGCTTTCTTCTGGTTGACATGCCCCTGCTGTAAGTTCCATTAGCGAAACATGCATTCCACTGATACCGCTTACAGTATGCTCCATGCGATTGCTGTTGAAGAGAACAACACATTCAAGAATATCTACGGTATGCCTGGCAAAGGCGAAGTTGTCTCTCGGGGTTAACAAAGTTCCGCACCATGAAGACACGTGGGGGTGTGTCAGTTTTGTGCCACATTACCCCAAAGAAAAGAACCCTGGTACCCATTGGACAGGAGGCTGGGTGGGCCCCACAGCTGTTCTCGATGTTGTAGCAAAGAAAAATGTTACTGTTTCTTCCACGAACCAAACACTGGCTTGCCAGCAGGCATTCTAGTGACTACAAAACAAATACAATTTAATAATACACTGTCCACCTTAACCTCAATTTTATCATCCTAATAATATCTGGTGAAGATTGGAATTTATACAGATCCTGACTGTGCCATTTTCTCACCTTCTGTTACTTAATTCCTCTTAGGTCTAAATATTTCCATTAAGTCCCTGTTCATCAACTCATACACCAATAAAAACAATGCTACAGAATAATTATGATTCATCAATTACTTACAGTTTTGAATTATACGCAGAAATGATAATCAAGTCATTTCTTTTGAAAATATTCTCCTTCGTGAATTTGGTGTCTAAGAATACAGGTGATGAGCAAAACATTTGCACTTCCCCATTATATTCTTTCTCAATTTGTAATCTATAGCAGCCTCTGTATATCAAATTAAATGTTATATTCAATGTCTGAAACAAAAAAAGTATATTTCCAATTAAAAACTAAAATTACTCATCGTGGATAATGATAAAAGATGGATCATTGGGGGTGGGTGGGCAATTCATTACAAATTTACATAACCTTACTTTCGTGATCTTAAAATTACACAAGGTTACCCACCCTTCCAGTTTAATCAAAAGACTGTACACTACCATAACTCATTTTAAAAAAACAAACATTAAAAAACTGGCGAGTGCTTACAATATAAGGATACTATTTATTATTGTTGTTGCTGTTATTAATTATAATACTACTTATTAATAAACCAAATTCCTACAGTGCACAGAAACTTACATTTGGAAGCAAACTACTCCAATTTTGGACATGCATCTTTAAATATAAGCTATACTATATTAAATGTGAACAGTTAATTTGAAGCACGAGCACAAATACTGTATACTAAAAACACAGAGTTCAAAAATAAATGAAATACAGTAATTCTGTTACCTTTTCACAGTTTGGAAAAATGTTGTTTGATAGGTTTCCTTCTTTGACCCTGCCCTTTCTTACTGAATGAGCCGAGGCAAGGACACCACATTCATCTTCTGCAACATGTGAGTGTCCAAAAACAATCCCTTTACATTCGTCTTTTGTTACATTCTCAAATGCCTGCAGAATAAAATAATAGTCTCCTTTGCATAATCTGTCAAATGCCCTGAACTGAAGCGTAACTTTCCCTGTATCTTGATTCAGATTCATCCAGGTGAAGTTTCTTGGTTCCCAATCACAATCACTTCTTCCTGATGCACAAAAAATTAATGTTATCTTCCATGTAGCAAAAACAGTGTTTTCGCAAACATTTTAAAGCTACACCATAATCTTTATCTTCCATTTGGCAAAAACAGTGTTTTTGCAAACATTTTAAAGCTACACCATAATCACATTAAATATGAATTTAAAATATGAATAATTCAATTGAATTCCTTAATCAGAAATTTCTGCCAACTGCAAGGAGCCTGTAACAGGCAAACACTAATAAAGATGTACAACACAAAAAAGCACTATAAGGGAAAACAAAATCAAATTAAAACAAGGTTAAACTAAACTAACTAATAACAATAATATCTTTGTTAATATGAGTTATTCATAAACTACTTCTTATAAATCAGTTATTTGTTATTTTTCACACGTATTTCATTCCTACTGTTACATTTTGTACACTTTATATAAAGTTAGGTTTAACTTATAAAACTATGGCATTATATTACAGGTTTCATAAATATAAATTTAAAAAAAATTACTGACGTAAAGCTTTAAAACAAAGCAAACTTCTTCACTTACCTGTACAAGTAAAATCAAAAGCACTCACCTAAAACAAAATACAATCTTGTTAATATAATACAATTTAATTATAGCAGGACTATATATATATATAAAAGAAGGAATACACCCAAGTTTTATAGCGAAACATAAATCCAGATGCAGAATTCATAAGGTAGGATGGTAAAATATTAAGTAAGTTATCGTCGTGGTATGATTCTAACCTCACTTTTAGGATGCAATAGGTTCTAACAAGACGTAACTGATGTTTTCATTGTTTTTTCTGCATTCTTACAGACAAAAACTAAAAAAATGTTTTAATAGGAAAAAAACAATTACATGCTTTCCACTCCATGTCCTCTAGATTATCATGTGCTATTCCTAATTTCATCACCAGTCCATCATAAGAAGGAAATTAAGGACCTTGGATCTGGTATCACCTTCAATGGAATGGACTTCCTGTCAAACTTCATACAAATTCATTCACGGACAGATGATTACAAAGTCATGAACAAGAAATCTACACAAAACAATTTTCGTTTTGTACAAAAAATGTCAAAGAATTTATTATCACAACAGTGACCACCTCTAAATTATTATAATAATGTAGCATAATAAAGAAAACATACAGAAAATAATAAAAACACGGTCCTAGAATATACTAATTTAATTATTTTAATTAACAAGGTGTTTGAATATGTAACTTTCTGTGAACTTACATTTTCACCTGGACACATCATTCGTACATCCTCACAATTACAACGTGACAATATGACAGTCACGAAAACGATATATAAAAGTTTCATTGTTTCAAGTTACGATACAAAGAAACCGCAACTGTATCTGAATCTGGAAAAAAAATTACTAATAAGTTACATTTAGATCTTCGTAAACTGCAGAAGGAGCTTCTCAGGTATAAGGGAATGACAATAAGAAATCAAAATTTCTTATATAATTATAACATGATGATTCTTAATTTTATATTTAAACGCAAACTTTACTGACATGTAACACAAGAAACTTATTTACAGTCTCGACTGATTATTTTGAAGGATGAGACAAACGGGGCACCTAGCACGCATGAAAGAAATGAGAAATGTATACAAAATTTTCGTCAGAAAATCTCAAGAGAATAAGTCACTTGATAAACTTGAATGTAGATGAGAGAGTTCTGTCAAAATTAGTCTTGAATAAAATTAAATGTTTTGGATTCGATTCATCAGGACAGGGACCAGTCTTGGACTCTGTAAACATGGTAATGAACCTCCAAATTCCATGGAAAGTACGAATTCTTTTGACTAGCTGAGCACCTAATAGCTTCTCAAGATTCGTTTAGTTCGACTTCATTTTAAGTTTAAGAATCTTGTTAAAATTTCTGTGCTACTGAAGACGACTTATCTTGGTTCATGTGCCTTGTCGCAGGCGTCGGAATAAGTTGGCAAATAATTGACGTCATTGAATAAACACGGAAAATATATTCGCTTCAAGAGAACATGCGATTAAGCAACAGTGTGGTAAAGTAAAGAAAGCATGCAGCGAAAGATTACATAGAATTATGGCGGCCTTGAACACACAAGAGACAAGAAATATCGCAAATCACACGCCCTAAGCCCATCCTGCATGCGCACAGACTTGGTTGTCAACACTGGCTTTTATGCAAATTGCGATAACGTTCGGTGAGAGGTGGCATTATTCTAGCCCTCCCGTCTTGTAACGTATGCTCCACATATCTAATGCTAAGTTAGATTCTCCACAAGGGCGAATTCAACTTTTCTATTCAGCATATCATCCACAATGCAATCAGTTCGTGCACACCCTGTGCAGGTCGTTTTCTGTAAGGGAAAATATGGCCGCAGTGTTACCACTCTCGATACGTGATAATGTGGGAAACATAACCTTCAAATTCAAGTCGTGCTGAATATCACAACAAAGTTACTAATACATAATAACTATTATAACATAAGACTAATTGCCAAGACTCATTTAAGCGTGTTACGGTATTGTTTTGTTTTTTACGAAATTGAAACATTAAGTTTTTTTCATTGCTAAATTTTACACATTGATTGACATTATTGAATTGTTAATAAAACTGATAATTATTTTCGATAAACGATATATATGAAAACTCGCGTGAGTGTAATTCGCCAACAAACGCTCAAGCGACAGACGAATATTTTCATAAAAATTGCAACTATAAATGTCTAATCGACCAATCATTGCGCACGGATTCTTTAAAATTTCGTCCTGCAAACGTGCAAACTGCAATCTCGGTCAGCGGAACAAAAAAAAAAAAGTATCACTGGGACGTACAGCTAATTTCCGGGTGCCCACCTTTCACTTAAAATGTGTCGTGCAAAATAAAACCTACATTTGAAAATCTTACTCAGCACAGACCACTCTTACGTGTACAACAATACATCCCTTACTTACATTATACAGAATAATATATTTAAAACGCAAGAGTTATAATACATACGAACGCGTTGACCCACAAAACGATGAAACCAATGGCAATATTGAATTATTATTCTTCACTGTCCTATTGTTGTAAATGAAATGGGTTCGGCCTCAGTTTCAGTTGTTTTGTCGTTCGATGAACGCAAGAAATTTGTTGTTTCCAGTCGGTGCTTTGTTGTCATGAACCGCTGTACTGATCGTGAACATTCCGTGTTCGTACTGACCTGCCGTGAGCAGTGGTCTGGCAACCAGGGTGATTTTGACTACTGCCGCGGGTTACAGATTGCGATCCTGTTGACGTTTTAAATGGTACGCTCTGTATGACTTACGCTTAGACGCAGAAGCATATTAGACCACTTTGATTTACGAATTTCTCGATGGTAGTTCATTTCACCACTCACATACAATCTTATACGTATACACTTCGAGATTACGTAGTAACATACAATCTTCTACGTATACACTTCGAGATTACGTAGTATTTCCAATGTCTGTTAACAATGCCCACGAGTCTTGTGGCAAGTTATGATAATTATGAGCGACGTCACACAAACGGCAAACATATTATTTAATAATCAAATCAGAATTTTACCACACTTCAGTAAATACCACGAAAAATATTACCGTTTAAAGCAAATGCAGAATTCGACCAAGGACTGGGCCACAGAAACCACATAATACTTCCTGCCCACTAGATTAAGACTGAGAAACACCATGACGTCCAGTGCAGGCCATCAAATGCGAATTAGGCAATGCCGAAGAGGAAACATTACGCGAAATAGCAGTTTGTATGATTCCGGCGTTTCGACCCTCCGCTCGCTCGCCCGCTTAGACACTGCGCAAGGCAAGAACTACGCAGAGCCATTTCCTCCTTCCTTATTGATCTTGGTTCGTAGAATCCTCGATTTCCTTACTGGTAATCGCGCCAACCTTGACTTCACAGAAGAACTCGCTAAAATACCGGGGGATTGGGAAAATGCACAATGAGGAAGTTCATAATTTGTACTTTCCACCACATCTACATATGGTGATGTGATGGGTCAGGGATGCAGCATACTTAGGAGAAAAAATGCACACAGTGTTTTAGTTGGAAAAAAAAAAACTGTAGTGGGTCATTTGGAATATCTAGGTAGCCTCTCACCTAGTCTATTTGATACGTACACAGACGACCTCATAAGGAAATGGATGGATAAAATCAAAACAGGAATAAAATTAAAACAAGGGCAGTATATAAACACATTACTGTTCCCTGAGGACTAAATATTAATTCAAGACAGATCGTGGGAAAGATGGAACGAATGAAGTTTGCAGAGGCTTTAGTTTAATCCTGAAAGTGAAGAAGAGGAAGGTGAAGACCAATACTTTCATTGCCCTGATAATGTAGGCAGCAAGGACCTCCGAAACTGTGGTAAACTTCTACCTAACTTTAGATTATTGCGCCTCACAGTAGTAATTTATGTAGAGCTCACCGTGGCGTTTGTAGACGTATATCCTACAAAACTCCTACTGCGCTACACATTATTTACTCGCAGTTTCTGGAATGCTCACAATGGCGTTAGCTCACGGACGATTAAATTTATACTAGTAGTTCCTAAAAAGCACCTAGTGGCGTTAGTTGACGGACACCCCCACAAAACAACCATTTATGACTATTCGGCCAGATATTGTGTGCTAGTAGTTTCTGGAATGCTCACCGTGGCGTTAGTTCACGGACCAATAAATTTATATTAGTAGTTTCTTGAAAGCTCACCGCGGCGTTAGTTGACGGACTATTTATTTTGGTTATCGATAATTCATACGATGTATATCGATAGAGTAATCAATTATAAAATATCGGTAATCCCATAAGCAATGTATCGATGGGAAGTGTATAATCGATATTCAAAATGGTTCATGTTGTGCGTAGTTTAAGTTGCAGGTTGCAATCGTGTTGCGATACTTTATTGAAATATAATTATTACAAAAAATCCACAGTCTCATCATATTTATATAGCAACTTTTCATCTAGGTGAGTTGTGTATCCAGTACTGTTCTATTAACATCTCGTGCTTGCTTTGTATTACGTGAAAATGGTGAAATGACTATCGCATGTATGTGTCATCTCAAGGATAAGTTACGTAATTAAATTATGTTAGATACGATATTGTCACTTGGTTTGGTATTTGAAGAGGATTCTTCTTCTCAGCGTTTTCCATCATCTATATGAATACGGTAATGCCATTGTGCTGTGACAGATTGTTATAATGTAACGGGTAACTTTAATGTCAATTTCAGTAGAGTTAAAAGTCAATAACACTTTTTCAGAAGATTTCTAGAACTGGTACTACGGGCACCAAATTTGATTCTCAGACTATCCTAATTGTAGGACAATAAAGATTTGTAGGAAAGAAGAAGAAATGCAAATTATTACAAACTTCCAAACTTAGCAAAGAGTTCAGATGTCTCTCCATTTGATACCCTTAATATAGAGATAGGTATGCAGGTAAGTTATTATGTACCAGATGGTGCAATAAAATGGTAAGAATAAACAATCGTACAGATTTGAATGTGGGTCATGATGCTGACCACTCACCCACACCTATTGCTGAAGTCAAGAATGAGTAGGAGCTATACCTCCTCTCCCCCAAGTAATCTACATGGCGTTAGCAGGACTGCTTTACTTTACAGATATGAAACAGAACAAGTAACAATGAGTCTCCTATTGGAGCCTTCTGTCTTATCAGCTGTATTATCATTGAACACTTTAAAGAGAAGGGAAGATTAATGTAAAAATACATATTTTTAAGAAGTAAAGAAAGTAATTTTTGTGCCATCTGATGTATTGTTTTGGTTCCTTCTTTTTTGAATTATTGTTCCAGTTCAACTGAGATATTATCTGAAAAATATGATGTGGTGGTGGTTGGAGGAGGTATTGTGGGAATGGCAACAGCACGGGAAATTCTCCTTCGCTACCCACATCTTAAGATGGCTGTACTGGAGAAAGAGAAGGAACTTGCGTGTCACCAGACAGGACATAACAGTGGAGTGATACATGCCGGCATATATTACAAACCTGGCACGTTGAAGGCAAAGCTTTGTGTGGAGGGTTTGAATCTAGCATATAAATACTGTGATGAACACAACATTCCATATAAAAAGTGTGGCAAGCTAATTGTGGCTACAAATCCTGTTGAGGAAAAGAGACTTGATGATTTGTATGAAAGAGGAAAGAAGAATAATGTGAAAGACTTAGAAATGATTAGTGCCAAACGGATTAAAGAAATTGAACCAATGTGTCAGGTAAATGATGACTTAGTTTATTGGAGAGGTTGTATGAAATTTATTAGTTTGAAACTTATTACAGACATTTTATGTTGACACTGCAATATTTTGGACACAGTAAAATAGTGTTGATGAGTTTTGCACAGCAATATTTTGAACACAGTAAAATAGTGTTGATGAGTTTTCAAAAAGATGTTCGTGCAAACCGTATCTTCATTCATAATTTTGACTACTGGATTCATTGCACTGATGTAATACTTAGGAATAAATAACTTTAACATCTTAGGAGTTTTATAATTGTAATATTGTAATTTTACTGATTAAAACCCATGATTGCAGGGAACTCGTGGTCTTTGGTCCCCACATACTGGCATAGTAGACTGGGCCGAAGTGACGAGATCATATGGAAAGGATTTCACAGAAAAGGGTGGCAGGATCCATTTGAATTTCAGAGTTATTTCATTTAAGGAAACAGCTGAAAGTTCATCAGCATCTAAAGGTGATGGAAACAAGTATCCTGTCTCTGTCCGTGGGGAAAATAGTGTAAGTTTTGATCAACGACACTGTTTACGCTTTGGCCTCTCTGTCCTTCACTTCACTCATATGTTGCAGCTTCAAGGAGTAGGTTTTAATGGTTGTGATTAAATTCAGTTTGAGTATATTCTTGATTAGACTGTAATGTCACACGTAGTTCCCCCATGATCCTATCAGTTCCCACGCCCTCATCTGATTATGACACCAATCCCTGGTGGTTACACCAAGGCTCTTCCTTGACCGTCTGTTTCCTATAACTCTAATCATTTCCTCACACGTGGCTTACTCATTGTCCTGATGATGGAGGCTGCAGAGACCTCTGAAATGTCGGTAAACTTCTGCCGGACTACACGGCACTGAAATGTAGAAGACGGCCATCATTAGAAGATGGAATTGTCTCCAGAACATTTTTTATAGACAAAAATTGACGGTGGAACCACGGTTCCGGAGAATCTGACGTAAATACGCACACGCAGCAGTAGCGTGAAGTCTGATGTGCCTTTATTTGTATAAATAAATGTTTGTAGAACCTAAACCATTTGTGATATGTAAAATCTGAAATCTTCGTAACTAACGCTGTTTTTGCCGAATGACCCTTACATATAGATGTATTTACGTCAAAAAATTGGTGCTTCTGGAGCCAAAATCCTATTTGGATATTGTGAGGGCATTTTTTGCAAATTAAAATCATGAGTGTAAAAATTGTACACGAGTGGGATTGTGCATTTTAAATGACAGCCATGCATTAAACACGTGCATGTGTGCAGGGCACTTACATCTATTTGTGTGTTTATCTTCTCACAAAGTATGTTCTTTCAGGCTGTAAAAGCATCGTATGTTCTGACATGTGGTGGCCTTCAGTCTGATGAGCTGGCACAGATGTCGGGCGGAAAGATCAATCCTAAGATCGTTCCGTTTCGTGGCGAATATCTTCTTCTGAACCCGAAGAAGCAACATATGATTAAAGGAAATATATATCCAGTGAGTGAAGAATTGACGGGTACTTGGATATGAATTCAGAACATCTAGTTTGGTTTTTATCAAAACTTTATGACTGCTTTAATATTTCTAAAAGTGTGGTTTATGTTTATCCTCTGGTAAAAATTTTTTATAAAATATTTTTCTAAATTTTTAATTTTATAGTGGAGTACATGACTTGACTTGTCGTGATAGGTTCCAGATCCGCGGTTTCCGTTCCTTGGTGTACATTTTACTCCTCGAATGGATGGAAGTATCTGGATTGGTCCAAATGCTGTACTTGCTTTGAAACGAGAAGGATATGGGTAAGCTGCTATCTTCTTCTTCTTCTTCTATGACTCTCCGGTCCGTATTCGGTCCATGGCCTCCTCAATTCTCCTCTTCCATTCGGTCCTCTGTTAGGTCCGTCTGTCCGAGGCTTTGATTGAGGTTTCGAAACATATTCCTTTTCACGGTGCAAGGTTGTTAGCCTTGCGACCAACACCCAACCTGGAGGACCAGGGTACCTCTCCCCCTCGACCAATCTGGCTAGCGAATCCCTACCAGGAGCTCTTGGGGTCACTGAAGTACTCAAGCCCCACCACCACGACAAGGTGCAGGTACCATTAAGTGGGGTTGAGACAAATTGATATGATGGAATTTTAGCTTAAAAGAAAACTCAGCACAGAAAACGTTACATTAACCTACAACTTTGGGCATTATTTTTATCTGTTTCAGTTGGTGTGATGTCGATGTCAAAGAATTGATGGATACTTTGTCGTATCGTGGTTTTCAGAAGATGGCTCTGAAGAATAGTGTATTTGGAATATCAGAGATGATAAAGTCTGCATTTATAACACTTCAGTTACGTGAGATTAACAAATTTATTAAAGAAATTACAGCTGACGATCTGTCGAGGTGAGCTCTCTTTTTAATAGTTTAATAGTAGTTACTGGTATAATTTTCTTACAAATTATGATCATTCATCTGTGCTTATAACTCAGACAATGGCCACAGATTTGCTTAAATAACAGATTGAGAAATGGGAATAGTGCGTCATTATTAGGTTACAATTTTTAAAAGAATATGTGAAGCTCTTACTAAAATACGTGCTGACGGCCACAAAGTTTGGGTCTGCTGCATGTGTCTCATGTAACCATAAAACTATCACCGCTTGCTACTTTCGGAAGAGGCGTCCATGCCCTGCCCAAAAGTACTTGTTTTGACGTAAATACGTCTATGCGGAAGGGTCATTCAGCAAAAATAACGTTGGTTACGAAGATGTGTAAGATCCTCTATGTAAAATGATCAGTAAATAAGGACCCCTAAGAATCTGTAATGTATTTTATTGTAATTATAATT